GCGAATTCATCGTTATACGGTGCTCTCATTAAGCGAGGCACCACTGTAATCTTCAAAAAACTACATCTTTCCTGAGCTATGAGAGAGGATTACCTCTGTTGTTGTTAAATGATGCCTTGTTTTGTTTTCATAGGAGATCTCAGGTTCTGGATATCACCAGCTTCTGAACTGTCTGATTCCTGGCAGCCACGTTCTGTAGATATTGAGACTGCAGGCTATGCTCTGTTGTCTCATGCTAAACAACAAAGGTTATTAGAGGGGATCCCTATTATGAAATGGCTCAGCCAGCAAAGGAACCACCTGGGAGGCTACTCTTCTACACAGGTTAGAAGAGCATATTAAAAAAAATTAACTATGCTGGTGTCTTTCAAGAACAGATGTCAGTCTTTTATGTACCCTGTTTCCCCGAAAATAAGACCTAACCTGAAAAATAAGCCCTAGTAGGATTTTTCAGGATGCCTAAATAAACCCTAGTTAAATGAAACCCTACCCCCACCATTGTGCAGCAAACAGAAGATGGCATGACTGTATTAGAATAAATGTAGATTGTTGTACATGGAAAAAATAAAACATTTTTGGGGAAACATGGTAGTACTTCCTGTAAAACATCAGACTGCAAATTTACAAAGCAGGGTGTGAAGGTTTGCTCTGCCCGTACTTTTGTGGATGGTCAAGAGCTAGTACAGTGGTGCCTCGACTTATGAAAGTCCCTACTTATGACCGTTTCGAGTTACGACCAGCTCCGGTCACAAAATTTAGCTTCTACAGTACTTGCGACCAGAGCTTTCACTTAAGAACAGAAAAAGGCAGGGGAAAAAGGTGGGAAATTCAAATTTCTAACTGTACGTGGCGACGAGGCTGCTTCTTTGTAGCTCTTTCACCCTGACGATTAGAGTGAGTCCAGATCCCATTACTTAGTGTTGTAAATTGTACTAGAGAAGGCCCATTGAATCATTGGGGTTTTAGAGTGCCAAATCACTTGCATGTTCCAGTGATTCAAATCACCAACTCCTAATCCGACTTACGATACTAAAGTAAGTCACAATTAGAGTCTCCATTTGAATCAGTGGGATTTATGGAGGACTTGACTCACCAAATCTTCATTGATTCAGCTGGCCTACTCAAGTTCAAATTACTTCAGTAAGGATTACAGTCAGTGTGAGAATACAATTAGATGATAGTATTTGCTTTCCTAGACTTAAAACTTTATCGCTAAGGATGATTCACTGGTCAGGAGAAAAGGCTGTTCCTTGAATAAAAAAACTTAGCTTCCCCTCAGGTTCTTGCTCATCTTTATGCATTTTTGGGGGTTTATGAGCAGAATCAAGTGTAGGTATACTATTGTTAGAATGATAGGGCCCAGTGCAATTGTGGGGGAGTGACTGTCCTTCCCGGGAAGCCCCTTTATACCTGAAATGACAGATCTGAAGGGCTGTAAAACTCTCCAGAACCATGTTTTGGGCAACAGAGGGAGTGGCAGAAGGAAGGGGAGGAAGATTCCACAGTAAACATTGGATTAACCCTTGTGCATAGGCTGTGCTCACAGGATCTTTGAATGCACAGAGGTCAGGGTTGTGGCACGTAGGTTATTTATTTATTTGATTTATATACCATCTGATTAGTGCAAGCAGTACTCTGGGTGGTTTACTGAATGCATAGAGGTCAGGGTTGTGACACGTAGGTTATTTATTTGATTTATATGCCACCTGATTAGTGCAAGTTGTACAGATTACAGATAGTAGTGCAAGTGGTTTACAGATTAAAACTCAAAATTTGTACAAAAAGAACAAAGAACAGAGAGAGAAAAAAATTACAGCATCCTGGAGATTCAGTTGTGGAAGGTAGCTGTGAATCATTCTGTTTATACCAACTTCCTGAACTTAAGGAAGGAAAGAGCCTGGTGCATATCAGTTGATAACTTGTTCTGTAGACTGGGGGCACCACCAAAAAGACCTAATTCCTTGTTACTGCCTTTTTATCTCTGCTGTGGCCACATTTAGCAACATTGAGAGAAGTGGGTGGAATGGGTAGCTGATTGATGGGAAAACATTCTGATAAGTATTCAGATCCTAAACTGTTAGGGGTCATAATCACCTATATGTCCCATGTTGTTTGTGGATGCCTAGATGGGGCTGCACTGTTTTTCCTTCCTGTGGAGTACTTGTTCTTCCATTTCTCTTGCTGAGGACGTGGCCAGGTACTAGTAGTAGTATAGCCGCTGGGAGGGCTATCACATGACTCCGCCTGGCTCTATGTTTGGAGCAGTGATTGTGCTTGAGAGGCTTCTTTGTGAAAAGCCCCTCAGAATAAGTGATTTCTCCTGCAACACAAGCTAGTACTTATTTTCTTCATAACCAGTCCTATTAAAAACAGTTCTTTTTTTCCCCCTTTCCTAAACAGGACACCATAGTGGCCCTGCAAGCCTTGAGCGCCTGTGCGATGCTTACAGCTAGTGTGGAAACAGGAATGGATGTGACCGTTGACCCTTCTAGTGAAGAAGTTCCACTTGCGTTCAGACTCGATAATAAAAACCGCTTTCTCCTCAGGACTAAAGAGGTAGAGCATAAAGAAAACATGATTTCCAAGCTGTGTATTCAATTCCCTGTGCTTTAAGCATGTTGAGAATCTCAATTTCTTTTAGATTGCAGCAACGCAGCCAGTAGAGGTTACAGTGTCTGCAAATGGACGTGGGTTTGGAATCTTCCAGGTATGTAGCCATAAGATTTGGGGGTGTTTCCCCCCCCTCTCTGTTTCATTCTCTCTCGCTGTTTTTAAAGTTTTCATTTCAGGATTTTGCGGTTGGAACCCATTGAAATGCAAAATTCCATCTATGTACCTAGCATTTGTGTTACTAGAGGTGGGATCAATACCTTCTGAGTTAATAACCAGACCATTGATTGGAGTCCTAACCAAACTCGAGGGCTGTCTGTGCGTTAATTATTTGAGGTTTTCCCAATGTGTTTGATCTTTTCATTGAACTGGTCCCTCTTGAAGGGCTGTGCTTATGAACAGCTTGTATACCTGCTGCTCCATTGTTACAGTTCAATGATGTTAGTAAAGTACTCTAGTCCATCACCTGCATAACCTATGTCTGGGCTTCAAATGAATGTGAGTGAATACAATTCGCACCAGGGTGACTCTCCCGTCTTTTCTTTTCTTCTTCATCTTGCTGTCCCCTCCACATTTGATGTTTCTGACAGGACACAACAGTGTGGAAGGGAAGGGGAAAGATGGAATAATCACATTAATTAGGATCCCTAATGGACTTTGTTTTATTACTGAGAAAAATCCATAGTGGTGATGATGATGATCATGATACTTCAGTAATAACAATGATGTGTATCAGATTAATCCTGTCTTATAATGACCCTTTCCAGGTTTTCTTTGGCATAAAGTGTACCCAGGAATAGTTTACCGCTCCCTTCTTCTGGTGATTCTTTCGGAGCGTGCAGGTTGCCCGAGAGGGCACAGGCTGGCTTCTTGTCCAGGAGACCCTGGGAAGAATCATTCTCCCAACCCCTGCCTCTACAGCAGGGTGCTCCAACCTTAAGCCATCCATCCATCCATCCATCCATCTATCCATCCATCCATCCATCCATCCATCCATCCATCCATCCATCCATCCATCCATCCATCCATCCATCCATCCATCCATGATGTTTCACAGTACTGTTCAGAAACCTTGCTTGAGAGTGGTTGAATAAAAATTGCAATACGTTATTGAATAAATCAAAAACTGGTAAGGTTGAAATGGATTGGTGGATAACCAACCTATAGAATTGGAACTAAGCTGATTTCAGAAGTTGATTTTGGAGGCTGGAATAACTCTGGTGATTCTCCTTTTGTCAGGAATTATTTAAAAATGACTTTATGATAAATGTGGAATTGGATTTTCATATGAGTTTAGTAATTATTGGCATATACTGTACATTTGGTACTATTTAGTGTCATAGAATTGTTATGTAATGCACTTAAAAAAAACCTGAAGCCTTCTTACCTCTCTTCCATTAGTCAAAAAAGGATTCTCAGGCTGACTTACTAAAGTGTGTAGTAGAATAACTCCCTGCACTCAACATTACATTTTGAAAAACATGGCATGCAAAGAAAAATGGCAGGGGTGGGAAGAGGAAAAAAGGGCAGCTTGCTGCCAGTTTGTCCATCCATTGTTTGTACAGTGACCAGCTGGGACAGAAACAGTTGAGATAGTCTGGTGGAACTGCTGGAGACAGTTGAAGGTCAATTGAAGGCAGCTGCATCACAGTAGCGGTAATGGGAAAGCCAGGTTTGTTTGTTTCCTTCTTTTCTACAGACTGAAGGAATGGTTTCTGTTTGATAAATACATTCTGTTTTGTTTTTATATGTGAGTACTTGTTTAATTATTACTTTCAGTGCAGAGGTTAGGTTTTTCTATAACCACCATACTTACTATCCTTTGGTTTTTCAGCAGAGGGAATTACGGTCATTCCTTTGTCAGCGAAAGGAGTCATTCATCTCCTGTAGAATCAGATAATCAATATATAGAATACAGTGTCTTGGCAATGCAGGACAAAGATGGAATGGGAATATGACCCATGATAGCTATGGTGTGGCTCTGATTGTGTTTTGTATCATTGTAAACCCCAAGAGAGGAGACTGAACGAAGATATCAAAGACGCAGAACCTTGTTTGGCATAGAAACCTCAAGGCTTATTTTGCATTGCTTTAATCTTTAATTTTCATACAAAACATTGACCTAAGTGTACAACTTACATGGGCTAAATTCCATGCTGATTTGAATCATGGACAAATAAACAGTAGAATGCATGACATCAGCAATGCAAGAGCAGGGACTGAACTTGAGCTGGAGTTGCAGAATAAACTATGTATTATTTCTGGAATATCTCACTGAGAGAATGGAACATGTGCATTTATAAAAATACTGTTTTTGATTATAAATTTTTTTTCCAAAGAGTTAAAAGACAATTTCAGATCCAGTAGTAAAGGCCAAGGTTTGAATCGGCATCACTGCAGGGAATTATTTGCTCATCCATCATATCTGGTGGCAGTGGATTTAGCAGGAATTGTTTGCAATAGCAGTTGGGTGGCTGAAAATTAACTGAAAGGGAAAATATCAACAATATTCCCTATTTTAAAAAAAACACACAAAATAGTCAAAACTGGTTTGAAATCTAGAGGTTAATCAGATATAAGCATTTACATTTTTTACCACAAATAAGACAAATTGCATCTTTAATTTCTTTCCTAATAGTAGCACTGATCGTGTTTGTATTTACTTGAAAGCAAGGCTTGCCTCAGTCAGTGAGCTAAAGAAATAAATATGCACATGATTTCACTGCCAATCCCTTACTGTGCTGCATTTCTTTTAAGTGGTATTTAAACAGTACTTTGATGCATTTAGTGTTAGCATCACATGTGCCTGTGTTGGCACTTGACCCCTAGCCTTCCACCACCTAGCAACGAGTCCGGAAATCTTACACAGAGAGAAGCATGCCCTGTTCTGGGGAAGGGTGTAAAGCAGGGAAGTAGCGTGCTATAATTCAACTAGACAGCTTATCTTTTGGATTAACAGGCATAACCATATTTCTTATGCAAATAAATCAGTGGCTTATATCATAGTGTAATGAATAACGTTTACCTGTTACCATTTCTTATTGCATTTTGGCGGGGGGGGGGACTAAATTACTTCCATTGGGCATTTTTAGGTCATTTGCTTACTTCTAAACAGCTCTCTCAAAACAAAAGAAGCTAAAATTCCCAGAAGAAAATTTTTGTTTGTAATGAATTACTTTGTGTGTGGTATGTATGTGTAACATAATGAATTACTTTTGAAACAGCAATTTCAAGGCTTTAGAACAAAGATAGGCAGTCTGCAGAGGTCTGGGGGTAGGATATACCAATTCCTAGACCTTGGAAAGCTGAACGTACAATCCCCGCCTATTGACAATTCTTCTTATACAAATAATTCCCTCCTTAGTGGCCAGTGTTTTTTTTAAACATTACACTGGAGGACTAGGAGGGGATCTGGGGGTCCCCTCAGAACATGGCATAAATTTCCTCACACCTTCTAGAACACACAGATCTTTTCCATTTCCCCCTAATTTTGATAGGGTATGATGGCTGGATAGGTCAGCGAGTTAGGTATCCAACTGTGGAGTTGGAGGTAGGGAGTTTGACTCCCCTCTGTGACTCCAGGGAGAAAGAGCCAGCCTGTGTGGCCTACTGTGACTCCAGGGAGAAAGAGTGAGCCTGTGTGGCTTTTTGGCAAGCTGCACAGTCCCAGGGTGCTCCCAGAAGAAAGGAAAGGAAAGTCACTTCTGAGTACCATTTAATTAGCAAACCATGAAAAGGGTAGCCATAAATCAGAATTGGCTTTACAGCACAACATTATTATGAGGGTCCTGGGACTCAGGGGCTCGAGGGGGGGGTACATTTGTGTCTCTAGGGATGCACATAGCCTATGGGCCACATGCTGACTGCTGCTTGTGGTGTTGGAGTTTCCCCTGCTGTCTTTATAGTTTAGTTTAGTTTATTTGATTTATACCCAGGGGCTCAAGGGGGGTACATTTGTGTCTCTGGGGATGCACATAGCCTGTGGGCCACATGTTGACTGCTGCTTGTGGTGTTGGAGTTTCCTCTGCTGTCTTTATATGGAATCAGATGAGTAGAAATTATCCCCTGACACCTAAAAGATTTATAGGATGGAACTGCCTTGGCCACTATATGGAATCAGATGACTAGAAATTATCCCCTGACACCCAAAAGATTTATAGGATGGAACTGCCTTGGCACAGTCTCCAACACCGTATTTCTCCTTGGTAGTTTGGCAAAGCAAAAGAAGAAAAGACTTCTGGAAGTAATGACACTCTATATAAGTTTGATTTGCTGGAACAATTTCATAGGGATGAGATTATTTTCATAATTGCAGGACGCCCAGCCCCAGAGGTCATCTAGAATTCCCCAGGCAGACTTCTAGGATTGGGAGAGGAGAAAGAAGGCAGCAAAAGGGAGGTCTTCCTACATCTATGATCTCCTTCACTACGGGTGAACACCCTGTTTGCAATGCTTGCTGGGAATGGCCTCACTTCCTACATCTACGATCTCCTTCCCTACAGGTGCTTTGGCTGGGAACACCCCTTTGTTTGCAATGCTTGCTGGGAATGGCCTCACTCCTCCATGGGGAGGGTAGTATGCTCCCCAGTAGATTCTGTAGGGGAAACATCTGAGTAAACTGCCCTTCCCATGGAGCAGAGAGTCACAAACAATGTGACTGAGGAGGTGTCCCTTTCTGCTTCCCAGCCAAAGCCTATATAGGGAAGCAGATAACGAGGGTAAGAAGAACTCTCTGTTGCTGCCTTCTTTCTCCTGCCGCAGTCCCAAAAGTCTTCCTGGGAGGTTTTAGGGGACTTCTGGGGATGGGAGTCTTGCAATTACAAAAATCTCATCCCTACAACGTTGTTTCTTTCTGTTTACATGGCAAGATTCCTTCTAAAAGAAAAATAATCCCACCAACCTGCAAATAATTCTTTTCCCCCTTCAAGCCACAAGTTAGATCAGTGTCCTGGCTGCTAAACGAAAAGCAAGTTATTATGATCTTTTCTCTATTAAACGGTCACATCTTATGATCCACTGCCACAAAGCAGAAGCTCGTATGTTCTGGCACATATATTCCAGCTTCTGGTATGACAGAAGAACAGTTTGTCCCCTCAG